TTCTTTTTCCTCTTGAGCTCCACGAGGAGTTCCCTGTTCAGCCAAGCTGGTCTTCTGCCCCGCTTGCTTGACTTTCGACACAGTGGAATTGCCTCCTCCTGTGCTTTTAAAAGGTGGTTCTTAAAAACTCACCAGCACTCGTGGGAGTCTAAGCCCTCAAAGGCAGATTCCTGGGGGACACTCTGCTAAGTAGCTCCCTGAATAGCTTAAAGTTTGCTCTCCTGAAGTCCAAGGTAGCAACTCTGCTGTCCTTTTTTCTCATTACACTGAAAATTTTAAACTCAACCATTTCAAGATCACTGTGGCCAAGACAGCCACCTACCATCACATCTCCCATGAGTCCTTCTCTATTCACAAACAAGAAGTCTAGGAGGGTATCTTTCCTAGTTGGCTCACTGAGTACTTGTGACAAGAAATTATGTTCAACAAACTTCAGGAATTTCCAAGACCTACTTGTCACAGCAGTATGGCATTCCTAGTTGATGTCTGGGAAGTTGAAATCTCCCATAAGGACAAGGGCTACCGATCCAGAGAGTTCTCCTAATTGCCTATAGAATATCTCATCAGTGCTGTCATCCTGGCTGGGCAGTCGGTAGTAGACACCCACTACAACATCTCCTTTGTTTTCCACCCCCCTAATCCTCACCCGGAGGCTCTCAACCACATCATCCCGAACTGTAAGGGCTGTGCAGTCAAACCTCTCCCTTACATATAGTGCGACACCTCCACCTTGCCTGCCCTGCCTATCCCTCCTGAACAGCCTGTAGCCCTCCATCCCAGCACTCCAATCATGGGACTCATTCCACCAAGTCTCACTAATACCAATGATATTGTAGCTCTGGGAGCTGACCAACACTTCCAGTTCATCCTGTTTGTTTCTCACACTGTGTGCGTTGGTGTACAAGCATTTCAGATACACTCCTGAGCCCTCCGTGCTCCCAGGAGCAGTGTAAGTGTTCCCGCTAGCATTGCCACCCTCAGGCAATACCATGCCAATCCTAGCAGAAGCCACTTGGCTGGTTAACACTAAAAGATCTGCTCATCAACCTGGGCCCACCCAAACAAAACCCCTGCACGCTGTGGAAAGAGATAAGGTCTCTGTAGTACACGTAGGGAACTGGTTAGGAAAGACAGTGCGAGTTATTCCTTCCTCGGGAAAAGGCAAACCCATTCATAGGGTTGCTTTCACACAAGGACCTGGGTGTACTTGATGGGTAATACATCAAGATGGGGAAATCTAGTGTGTGTGTCAAGGAGATTTAACCTTGGGGGAAATAAGCCATGATGTGAGTTGCATGATATGCCATTGCTGTACGATGCTCCAGCAGGAGCCACCCAAACCAATGGAGAATGATCCTCATCAGGAACCAGGCAAGTGCAGCAGTGATCCAACCTGAACTGTACCAAGTCTGGCTGGGATGGAGTTACTTTTTTTCCTAGCAGCCCATATGGTGCTGTGTTTTAGATTTGTGACCAAAACAGTGTTGATAACACACCAGTGTTTTAGCTATTCCTGAAGAGTGCTTGCGCAGCACCAAGGCCTTCTCTTTTTCACTCTACCCCTCCCCAGTGGGTAAGCTGGGGGGCAGGCAAGAAATTGAGAAGGGACACAGCCAGAACAGCTGACCAAAGGGATATTCCATGCCATATAACATCATGCTCAGCAATAAAACTCAGGGGTGGGTGGGTGGTAGTCTTTCCACAGTAGCTGTGGCTGGGAGACTGGCTGGGCATCAGTCTGCTTGTGGGAGGTGGTGAGTAATTGCCTTTGCATCATTTGCTTTTTTCCCCTTTTTTTCCCCCTTTCACCTAAACTGTCTTTATCTTGACCCACAAGTTTTTCTCGCTTCTGCTCTTCCAATTCTCTTCTCCATCCCGCTGTGCGGGGGGAGTCAGCAAGCAGCTGGTGGGTGCTTAGTTGCTGGCTGGCATCAACCTGCACCACAATGCAAGTTTTCTGAAACCTTTAGTGGTCTGCTCTTTTAGTCAATTTTTAAAGCTCTTGGAATAAATTCCTACAAGAATGATCATTTTTTGAGGGACTTTAAGAAACTTTAAACCTAATGACAACATTTTTGTTCTGGCATGAAGGAAAAATATATTCTATGTGAACATGATTTCAAGTCTTGGAATTAGAATTTATTTTTTATTTTTTAAGATTTTACTGTACTGGGTCTGGCTGGGATGGAGTTAACTTTCTTCATAGCAGCCCCTGTGGTGCTGTGCTTTGTATTTGTGACTAAAGCAGTGTTGATAACACACCAATGTTTTGGCTACTACTTAACAGTGCTTGCACAGCATCAAGGCTTTCTCTCTTCCCTCCCCCAACAGCGAGTAGGCTGAGGGTGGACAAGAGACTGGGAGGAAACACAGCCAGGACAGTTGACTCCAACTGACCAAAGGAATATTCCATACCATGAGACATTGTGCTCAGCAATAAAAGTTCAGGGAAAGGAGGAGAAAGGGGGAGACATTCATGCTTATGGCATTTGTTTTCCCAAGCAGCCATTACGTGTGCTAAGGCCCTGCTTTTCAGGAAGTGGCTGGACATCTGCCTACTGATGGGAAGTAGTGAATGAATTCTTCTTTTTGCTTTGCTTGCACATGTAGCTTTTGCTTTCCCTATTAAACTGTCATTATTTTGATCTTTTCAACTTCCTTCCATTTTGTTCCCATCCCGTGGGAGAGGGGAGTGAATGAGAGGGTGGGTGGGTGTTTGGCTGCTGGCTGAGGTCAGCTCACCACATTTACAGAAATGAAATTTTAGTTCTGCTTATACGTATTGGACTACAATATTTGAATAGTCAAAATAAAATGTGATTAACTACGTCTTTTCCTTTTTTCAAACAAGAACTACCATGTGAAGTTTAAATGGATAAGCTAAATTAAATTGCTAACACTACTAATGCATCTTTTTTAATAACTGTTGGGCATGTGGTTGTATACAAACTTCATAAAGGATAATGCATAAATAATAAGTTGCTGTGAGCTAACTAATGTACACAGTGTTTCAGAAGAAAGAGGTTAAAGGAAGCAAGTCCCAATGATGACAGGTGAGAGAGGGAGAAGGCTATTATTTTACTATTAATTTAAGGTCCAGGAGAAAGGGCAGCTAGTACATGAATTTCTTGGCCAGCAGCAGGTTATCAGCTCTCTCACAGAATAAGTATTTGGGGACTATTAATACAGAGTTGTCTGAAATGCCAGTCTTCACATAGCTCAACTTTTCTCTTCCTCCAACTTACATTTGGCATTGTATTCTGTATCACAATCATGGAGGAACAAAAATATAGAGCAAAATGAAAGTTGAAAAACTAGCAAGTTCACTATACCTGCCAAATATGAAAAGTTCAGTTTTCACATTTGAACATTACAGTGGAATAATCTGGAATTCGCTTTTATGTATTTATGCAATAATTAACATCTACACAGTTTTGGCACCTGTCCTTAGTATAATAAAACCAATGCAGATTAGTTATTTCCTATTTTATAATCTTTATATAATCCTAATAGACACTAATTTCCATAAGTATATAGGTGTTATACATATGTATAGGGAATAAAATAGTTGTGATAAACCCATGTGCAAACATTAATTGAGAAAACCATAAAAAAATTCAACATCCTCTTGGTAGTGCCTCCCCCAAAATTAAAACAGATGTAGGGAAGTACACATTTAGGGACAACTTAATGACTTTCATAGTGATATAACAACAGTCAAATCTTAGAAATACTTGATTTATTCTCTGAGTGCACTTAAAGTTTGGCCAGCTTGTTAGTAAGAAGATATCTTGCTCAGAAGTTCTAGTGTCGATTCAGTATTACTTTCTTTTACAACAGGGCTAACCAGACATACACAGACAATTCTGAGTCTGTTCTGCCTTCATTTGGAGCTGGTTGCACACAAGTAGCACAGCTGTATTAGTGCAGGGCAGCACCATAGCTGATAAACCTCTATAACAGAGCCATATGGCTTCCAGATCAGAGCCAGTTATCCAAGCAGCTTAAAATAAGGAAGAGTGAACTTTGGTCTGTCTGAGTACGTCAATATAGATCCTTACATGGCTTTAATGTACATACCTCATAGAGTGAGCTCTACAATTAGAGGATGCATATTTTGCTAAAAACTATAACCATAAGAATTTACTGAAAAGTTCTACTAAATTGCTTGCTTTAGAAAAAGCTGTTTTAAATTTTAATTACAAACAGAATTCATTAAAAATATTTCATATATAGAATTTTGTGTTGAGGTAAATTTGGTAGAGAAAATGAAGCCTAAAGAGACTATTTTTATTAAAAGTTGGCTATTAATAACAAAACTGCCTATTTAACACCTATGAAAATAGATGGCAATATATAATTCAAATTGTCACTCTACTACTGTGGGGGAATATTTTTTAAAGCCAGCATGCAATTGATAATGTCACTTACACACAATTACATTCTGAATTATATTTCCAAAAGTGTGTAACATGATTTGTATACAGAATTATACATATACTTTATACATAAAGAATTTACAGGTAAGGATGCAAACTACATTTTGCTGATATATCTCATTTTCAAAGATTATTCCTTGATACATGCTTTCTGGTCAAGGAAACTTAACAACAGTAACTGGAATTTACTCTACACTTAAAAGCACAAACTTCAACAACAACACGACAAACAAAATAAAGCAGTTGCAATTACACATTTGTTCAAAGCTAAAATTGAAATAAATTACAACCAAATGATCAAAAATTACTTTCTTTTCAAGACATTGTCTACTACTCCCACCTACTCACAAGCTTTCTTTTAAACAGGCAGAGAAAGGTCCTTTTTGCTGAGTAGGTATTTTCTATGTTTCGATTCTTATTTTTGTAATTAAAAGGCTAGACAAATGTTCTAAGGCATTCACTGGGCTTACACACAGTTTAAAGATATAAACCACCAATAATTTAATGAAAACACAGGAAAACCTTTTCCCATTCCTTCTACTAACGAAAGAAAAACTATACCTGTGCTCGCTTCTCCATGTCCTGACAAGTACCTAGTTGTTCTTCCATTGCAGCTCTGATTTGCCTTGCCTCATACTCTAACTGCCTTCTGGTCATATCTGTTTGCAAGGAGAACTGAAATCGAAGTACAAAGAAGGCATTTTAAATAAGGTTGGTATAAACTACGTATTTCTCTGAACAAAAGCAAAACAATTACATTTCCACACCAAACTTCATAAACAAAATATGAAAATAGACCCTTAAAATATTACTACATTGTTAAAAACAAGAACACATAATATTGGTAAACCAACAGGCTACCTGCAAGTCTTGTCAAGTAACTAAAAGCAATATATAAACATTGAGACAATATAATTCATTAACATTTTTTAACTAACCTGTTTTTTTTTTTAACATAGCTGTTGAATTCATAACCTACATCGCTTAAGGAAAGGTATTCTAACCAATATATTTTTCAAGGCATCAGCAAAGCTAGTTTATAATTTTAATGTTTATTTTAAAAAACAGGTCTTTGCAACTAAGGGAAAATACTAAAAATTAGCAAGAAAGTTGATTTAAGTTTAACTCCTTCAAGCTTTATTTTAAAAGACTGTAGAAACATAGAAAAGTCTAGGCTGACAGGGACTTCTGGAGATCACCTGGTCCCACCTTCTGTTGAAAGCAGGGTCTTAGATTAGGTTATCCAGGCCCAAGTCAAGACAATTTTTGAATATTTCCAGCAAGGCAGATTCCACCATTCCATCATATGTACATGGGTTAGTTATTCAAGCATGTGGAAAATAGTAACAGGTCCAGTAAACATGCTTGCTCAAAAAGTGAATTAGTTGATACCATCTTTTGATACACATGATTACCTTTCATTCTAACTGTTCTTGCTAGATGAATAGGAATTTATTTAATTTCTTGTCAGGTCAGTGGTTTCAAATACATAGCTATACAGGAGTGGCAAGTAAAATGAAATGAATGCCATGGAAGATCAGAAGATCCATCATTTAAATATGAGCGAGAACTGTCTTTCTGGAAGAGGACAACATGAGCTCTTTCAAAAAAGGGAGGTGATGAGCAAATATGGCAGTTTTACTTAATTTTATGAAGACTTTTCTGTAGTCTGCTCTCCAGCAAAAAGATACTAGTAACTGAATAGACCACAAACCAAAAACAATGACTGCACGAACGTATGAAAAGCAAAACTAGAAGGCATAGTCATTCTTCAATATTAGGAACAATTATACACAAGTATAAGATGACAGATAAAATTTTAAATCTTTCAGGAAGAAGTTTTACAAAGCACCTAACTACTTGTGGTGGGTTGACCCTGACTAGTTGCCAGGTGCCCACCAAGCTGCTCTATCACTCCCCCTTCTTAACAGGACAGGAGAAGAAAATAGGATGAAAAGCTCATGGGTCGAAATAAGGACAGGGAGATTACTTACCAATTAGCATCACAGGCAAAACAGACTCGACTTGGGGAAGATCAGTTTAATGTATTGCCAATTGATAACAGAGTAGGATAGTTAGAAAATAAGAACAAATCTAAAAACACCTTCCCCCCACCCCTCCCTTCTTCCCAGGCTCAACTTCACTCCTGACTTCTCTACCTCCTCCCCCCAAGCGGCACAGGGGGATCGGGAATGGGGGTTGTGGTCAGTTCATAACACTGTCTCTGCTGCTCCTTCCTCCTCACACTCTTCCTCTGCTCCAGCATGGGGTCCCACCTACAGGATACAGTCCTTCACAAACTGCTCCAACATGGGTCCTTCCCACAGGGTACAGTCCTCCAGGAACAGACTGCTCCAGCATGGGTCCCCCATGGACTACAGTTCCTACCAGAATACCTGCTCCTGCAGGGGGACAACCTGCATCACCATGGTCTTCTCCACAGGCTGCAGGGGAATCTCTGTTCCAGCACCTGGAGCACCTCCTCCCCCTCCTTCTTCACTGACCTTGGTGTCTGCAGAGCTGTTTCTCTCACATATTCTCACTCCTGTCTCTCCCAGCTGCTGTTGAGCAGCATTTTTTACCCTTTCTTAAATATGTTATCACAAAGGCGCCACCAGCTTCTCTGACTGGTTCAGCTTTGGCCAGTGGCGGGTCCATCTTGCAGCCAGCTGGAACCGGCTCTGTCCGACATGGGGGCAGCTTCTGGTGTCTTCTCGCAGAAGCCACCCCTGCAGCGCCCCCCCTTCCAAAAACCTTGCCACATAAACTGAATACACTACTATATTTCACCATCAGTCTTAAAACAGTGCTATGTATTACAGGGACGTGGCAGACCTTCTGGCGTTACCATAGCACCACATTATTTATGGTCACTGACAGAAGACAGAAATTACCTTTGCTTCTTTGTTCTAGAGGTTCTCCTGGTATGGAAAAAGGAAAAATCAAAGCCAGTATACATTAGTCACTCTGTTCCACCAATAATATGCAGAGATCTTATGAAGGCAGAATTCATTACCCTTTTTGTTCTGGAAAAGGGTCTTAAAAGGTGGTCAGAAGGAAGCCTTCAGCTACAGACATATGAAAAGAAAGGTAAAGCTTGAAGCACAACCCTAGTGCCCAACTGTATTCTGGTAGATGCACAGAAATGAGAAGGTTGTGCATTTCAAAGCATGAGACAAAAACATGAGCTGAACTGAGAGGCAGAAATGTGAAACTTTGAGGAAACTATGATAAAATTTAAAAGTTTTATTTATTATTAGAAAATTCAATTATGGCTGATGTATTTTTTCATTATTGCTGGAAGTCAACTCTTCGCTGTTTTTTGACAATTATTCAGTTTGCAGATAAACAAGTCAACACCAACAACAGGTCTCCCAGAAGACTTCACCAAGGTCAATTCAGAAAGCCAACAAGAGCTATAACAGTCCACAAATATGTAAAACACTGCTAAAAAAGAATGGGATCTATCCTTCCACTGTGGATGGAATAAGTAGTGATGGACATAAACTGCCACAAAAGAGATTTAGTATAAAGTAAAACATTCTAATAATACGAAGAGCTAAGTTAATTGATTACCTATGAAGTTGAGGAAACTTCATCTTAAAACCTATGACACATTTAGAGTGACACAGATACAGCTGACAATGCCTTTGGGAAATGGATTGCATTTCCTTAAGTTCCTTTTTCCTTCTTTCTCCCCTTGTCCCTGGTTTTCCGATTAACTTGGCTATGACAGATTTGCTGAAGTCCAGCTGTTTCACCACAGTCACTAAAGTGTTTCCATATTCTATTTCTACTTCCAGGAAGCTGACTAGTTCTGACAGTACCGCATAAATACAGCTAAACTGATTCCTGAACAGATATGGCTCTGTAAAGATGGGCAACCAAGTCTTCCCATAACTGTATGTACTAAAGAATGCACTGCAAATATATCCAAGCTGCTGAGGTCTGACAGCAGGAAAACCTGTATTATCTGGGATATCAGAGATCTTCATTATCCCAGAAAACAGTGACTTGACTATAGTCTGGAGATGCCAAGGTAAAAGTTTGTAGGGGCATTAATATCTGCATAGGCTATAGCATCACTTTACTCACTGTTCTGAATTAAGAGCTCCTGTGTAAATAGTCTCTTAGGCTAATATTGCTCTCAAAATTAAAAGAATCCATAAAATAACAGAACTGATAGAAAAAAAGGCCTTTGGGGGACACAGTTAAAGAAGAAACCTACTGACATATAACTTATTTGTCATAACTTTTCAGTGCTCCTCTCTAGCACTGACATTCATACTGATGGGTACGAATTTTAACAGGTAAAATAACATCTGAAAAACAGGGAATTGCAAAGGAAAAATATATTATTTAGTCTGAATTAACTTTGCACAATGAACAAAAAAATGCTTTAAATGAAAACAATAGTAGAGAATGTCCCTAAATTCATAAAATACACACAGCATCTGAACAGATATCATAGCACCAGATACATAAATGAGCATACTGTAGTTACTTACATTTTCAGTAAGGGGGATATTATCAATCCTTTTAGTAAGGTCCTGAAGCTGAGCATAATACCAGTCCTTTTCTTTCTCTTCCTTCTCAAGCTCCGCAAGCAACAGAGATCTATCAAAAACAAAAGCCAGAAATGTCTCACTAGTAAGTCTTCATTATCAAATACAAGTACAGCAATAAGCATAGATACCTATATAAAAGGTGAAATAAGAAATGAGATTTGATGAAGACGGCACTAACAAGAAGTTGAGAAGGTGGGTTCTGTTCCCTGGCCCTAGCTAATCAAACTATCCAACTATGCTGTGCTAAACAAGTCACTTTAACTTCTTGTGTATCAGATCCACATCTGTAAAAGAAAGAATACCTATAGTTCTTTATAAAACCAGTTTGAAATCTATAGCTGAGAGGCGTTTTGTGAAATCTAAGCAGTTATTAGTCACGTGCTAACTTGCATCCTGCTTCTTTATGACAATATGCTTTATACAATGCAGCAAACTACAACTGCTATTTAAGAAAAGGCTTGGATACTGCAGAAGTGTATACACCTCAGAATCCCGTTACTAAATTCAGTTCTCTTTTCTGCCTTTGTAGTGCTTCCTCACTCTGTCATCCATGACAAAACAATGTTAAAGCACACAAAACCATGATTATTAAAAACACTTTCAAAGAGTATTTTTCCATCATATGTTATATACAGGATACATTTACAGCTGCCTAACACATTCTAAATGGGTATCATAAGCATATTGCAGACCTGAGTAGTTATAACTACTATTATTCAATAATGCCCATACTCTGTCGTGTGCTGCTAATAGGTAGTCCAAGGCTAATCAATTCTGTATTATCCTTTGAGATAATAATTTAATCTCTTTCTGTAAGGCTACTATACTATCTGCAGTTACATTAAGAGCTTTTTCTACTTGCTGATACGTTTACAATAGCTCTTTCTAGTTCAATGATCCCTAACAGGTAGAACGTAGCGCCACATTCTATCAGAGGGTTGTAACACTTTTTCTCATATATATTAGTAGTTATGAGCTACAGAGGCAGAAGAGATGATACTGGTTCTAACCTGTGCAGATGGTATTAATGCACTCAGAATACTCTTTTCAGCTCAGGTTGAGGGTAAATACTCAAATGCCCTTTCTCCACATACCCAATATTGCCCTGGTAATTGTGTAAATAGGGTAGTACAATCTTCAAATAAATCTGAGTCATGTAAACTATTTCCTGCAAAAGGGTTAGTGTGTGCCGGGTTTGGTTGTTTAGGTAAACCAGTAAAGCTTGGACCTGTATTAAAGGACTCAGAACAATCAGGATCCTATAGGCCTGTAGTGGAAACCAAAATTTTATAGAATCATAGAATTGTTTAGGTTGGTAAAGACCCTTAAGATCATCACGTCCAACCGTTAACCTAGCACTGCCAAGTCCACC